ATTCATTTAATGACCATTTAAAGTTATGATGGCACTGAAGAATGTGAATTAATTTTCCTTACAGTGTCCCCATGTAATGTGATTGCCACTTACAACCTTCCCAGGGGACCTTTGGCAAGCAAAGTCAATAGGAGAAGCCAGATTTGCTTAATGACCATGGTGATTTATTTAACAACTTCTGCAAAAAAAGTCATAAAATCAGGTGCAACAAACTTAACAACCACAATGCTTAGTCATAGACATTATGGTCCCAATGCTGGTTGTCAGTCGAGGATTGCCTGTATATTCACCTTTCCTTGTTTACTTTTATGATGTGTTCTGTATTGAAAGAAAATAAGCTCTTGTGTTGTTTGTGCCTGAAGCACCATCTCTATAGAGTATCTGTGAGGATTTGCAAAATGCTTCAAGTTATCATGTGAGTAAAGTTAAAAACAATTTGTAAATAGTATCCCTTTATTGTTCAAAATGTCCTTTTTAACAGTAGACAAAACTCAGGAGTCATCTGGTAGCCCCTTTTCAGAGTAACAAAAAACTCATCCCACCTTTTAACTTAATCCATACAGTATATCTGCCCTATTCAGCCGTTCCAATGGAACAGCTCTGCAACCAGAGCATTCTGGAATGCATTGAAGCTGTTCTACAGCGCAGCTCTTATGATGACAGTAGATTTGGCTTAAATAAACTGCAGAAAAAAAGGGTTAGATCCACCTTTTTTTAGAATACTGCCACATCTAAAATTAGAATGATTTAAAGCAATGGAAATCAACCTCAGGGTAAACTGAACACATTCATCGCAAGCTCAGTCTTGCTTTTAAAAGCATATTGTCTGTGGAATGTCTTCCTACCAAGTTTATCCTTGAAAAATATTTGTTCAGAAAAATAGGTAACATGGTAACCTTGCTTTTACAGAAAACTCCGGAGCTTACAAATTTATTTATTTATTTATTTATTTATTTATTTATTTATTTAATTTGTATACCGCCCTTCTCCCAGAAGGGACTCAGGGCGGTGAACAGCCAAAATTAAAAAACATACAAATACAAAAGTTAAGATAATTAAAAAGAATTAAATCACTAGCTTCCCAATTTAAAACCCCCAAATCCATAAAATTTAAAATCCCAATTTAAAAATCATTTAGGCTAGGCCGGCTTGATGAAATAAAAACGTCTTCAGGGCTTTACGGAAGGTCCGGAGGTCTGGGATCAATCGTATTCCAGGAGGCAGCTCATTCCACAGGGTGGGTGCCCCCACAGAGAAGGCTCTCCCCCTGGGGGCCGCCAGCCGACATTGCCTGAGGAGGCCCTCTCTGTGAGAGCGTATTGGCTGGTGGGAGGTTATCAGTAGCAGCAGGCGGTCTTGCAAATACCCTGGCCCTAAGCCATGGAGCGCTTTAAAGATGAGAACCACCACGTCGCTCCCACAATCACCCGCGCGGCCGCATTCTGCACCAGCTGGAGCCTCCGGGTGCTCCTCGGGGGAGCCCCATGTAGAGAGCGTTGCAGTAGTCCAGGCGTGACGTGACCAAGGCATGAGTGACTGTGCACAAGGAGTCCCGATCCAGAAAGGGGCGCAACTGGCGTATCAGGCGAACCTGATAAAAAGCCCCCCTGGCCACGGCCGTCATATGCTCTTCTAAAGACAGCTGTGTGTCCAGGAGGATGCCCAAGTTGCGAGCCCCCTCTGTGGGGGTCAGTGACTCGCCCCCAATAGCCAGCGATGGCACCAGCTGGCTATACCGGGACGCCAGCATCCACAGCCACTCGGTCTTGGAAGGGTTGAGCCGAAGCCTGTTCCTCCCCATCCAGACCCGCACGGCCTCCAGACACTGGGACATCACTTCGAGGGCATCATTGGGGTGGTCTGGGGTGGAGATGTACAGCTGAGTATCATCAGCGTACAGATGGCATCGCACCCCAAAACCACGGATGATCTCACCCAGCAGCTTCACATAAATGTTGAACAGGAGCGGCGAGAGGACCGACCCTTGCAGCACCCCGCAAGCAAGGCGCCTCAAGGTCGACCTCTGCCTCCCTGCCAACACAGACTGCAACCGGTCAGAGAGATAGGAGGAGAACCACCGCAACATGGTGCCTCCCACCCCCAATCCCTCCAGCCGGCGCAGCATGATACCATGGTCTAACAGGACCAGAACAGAGGAACAACCCCTGTCCCGAGCCCTCCAGAGATCATCCACCAATGCGACCAATGCCGTCTCTGTGCTGTACCCAGGCCTGAAGCCGGACTGGCACGGATCTAGATAGACAGTTTCATCCAGGTACTGTGGGAGCTGTCGCGCAACCACACTCTCCACAACCTTCGCAACAAAGCGAAGGTTGGAGACCGGACAGTAGTTTGCCAAAATGGCCGGGTCCAGAGAAGGCTTCTTGAGGAGGGGCCTCACCACCACCTCTTTCAAGGCGGAAGGCAAGAAACCCTCACTCAGAGAAGCATTTATAATCCTCTGGAGCCAGCCTCGTGTTACCTCCCGGGTGGCCAGTACCAGCCAGGAGGGGCACGGGTCCAATAAACATGTGGTTGCGTTTAACCTCCCCAGAATCCTGTCCACGTCCTCAGGAGTCACAGGGTCGAACTCATCCCAGGTAACATTCTCAAGACCAGCCTCAGTCACCCCGCCGGGATCTACCCAGTCAGAGTCCAAGCCTTCCCGAATCTGAGCGATTTTATCGTGCAGATACTGTGCAAAATCCTCAGCCTGCCCTTGCAAGGGGTCTTCCCGTGATCCCTGATGTAGGAAGGAGTCACCCTAAACAAGGCAGCTGGGCGGTTATCTGCCGATGCAATAAGAGCGGAAAAGTGGTTACACTTTGCCGCTTTTATCGCCACTAGATAGGTCTTAATATGAGACCTAGCTAGTGTTCAGTCGGATTTGGAGCGACTAGCCCTCCAACCGCTCTTTAGGCGTCTTTTCCAGCGCTTCATCTCCCTCAGCTCCTCGGAAAACCAAGGGGTCGGGCAGGTTCGGCGTCGGGTCAGAGGCCGCAAAGGCACGACTCGGTCCAGAGCACCGGCGGCCATCCTATCCCAGGCAGCCACCAGATCTTCAGCCGAGTCGTGAGCCAGAGATTCAGGAATTGGCCCAAGCTCCCTCTGGAACCTATCAGGATCCATCAGGCGCCTGGGGCGGAACCACCTGGTCGGTTCTGCCTCCCTGCAGTGGGGTGCAGCGGTCAAAAAGTCCAGCCTCAGGAGAGAATGGTCCGACCATGACAGGGGTTCAGTAACTATATCCCCTATATCCAGACCACTCCGCCACTGACCAGAGATAAAAACCAAGTCCAGAGTGTGTCCTCCCGCATGAGTGGGGCCATGAATTAATTGTGTCAGGTCCATGGCTGTCATGGAAGCCATAAACTCCCGAACCATCCCAGACGCCTCACCGGCAGACGGCAGGTTGAAATCCCCCATGACCAAAAGTCTGGGGGTATCAACCGCCACCCCGGCAATAATGTTGAGAAGCTCAGGCAGGGAGCCAGGTACGCAATCAGCAGGCCCACCTGCATCCCATGGCCCCACTTCACCAGGAGAGACTCACATCCGGCTATCTGAGGTACAGTGGCCTCCCTCGGATCAAGACCTTCCTTTATAACGACCGCCACCCCACCACCCCTGCCCTGGGCCCTTGGCTGATGGAATGCACGGAAACCTGGTGGGCACATCTCTACGAGGGGGACCCCCCCCTCTTGGCCCAGCCAGGTCTCTGTAATACCTGCCAGGTCCGCACCCCCCTCCTGTATTAGCTCACAAATGAGGGGGGCCTTATTAACCACGGACCTGGCGTTGCACAGCATCAGTCTAAGGCCTGGCATCAGTCTAAATAGCTTCTTTAGAACGTATCTGGCAATATTTTGGGTGACAAATGGGCAGCGGGTAGAAAATGCCTTTTAGTTCACAGTGTCTGACAAAATAGGGAATAGTGTTATGTCCACTTTTTTTCTTCAATCTAGCTATGACCAGTTCTCAATATACATCTATATAATGCCAACATTACCATAACAGTGTTTGGTCTTAGTACATAAAAAATGGTAGAATATCCAATCGTCAGAACTTTGAATTTGGATCATAAGTACTCCTCAGGTGGAATGGTTACTAAATGATCAGTTGTAAGTCAAGGACTATCTGTATAAAGTCCACATGACTCATGTTCTTGTTATTGGCAGGACTATGTTCTCTGAAAACAACCTGCCAGTCGTATGTATTCAGTCCAAGAGGAGACAGTTCAGATCCCACCCGTTCAGGATGGGAAGAGGATTAAGAGCTTGAAAGCAATTCTTCCTGAGGGCAGCCCTGGATTAAGAGAGCAATTTGTCCCACAAAGTTAGGATGGTTCCTACACCTACATGGATAAGTTCTGAGAAGGTTACAGAAGAAATTACTCTATTGCCAAAAGTTTGGGACCAAAAATGTTATCTCACTGCCTACTGTCAAGGTTTATTTGTTTTGTTTTGGTTAATGTCAGTTCAACATTTAGCTTAAGTTTAATTGATGATTGTTTTATTGTAGCATTTTAACTGATGGTTGGATTATGATTTCATGTGTTGTAAACTGTCCAGTCTCTATGGATGGATATATACATTTTGTAATAAATCCTATGCATGATGTTCTTAGAGCATTTATTTTCTAGCTTTTAGAGTTTTGGTCCCAGGGTATGATTCATGATTTATTTATTAGATAACTTCTAGAAATAATTTTAAATAGGTTAAGCTCATGGAAATAGTAATTGCTGATAATTTTTTAAAAAAACTATTTTCATCAATTAGAGAATACTGCTAAGAGCCTGGAAATAAATATTTCTATTGTATAACCCATAAATTATCTTAATTTAAATATGTTATGTAAAATTTTATTGAAAAATAGTATTTTTGTCAAGCTTGGAAAAAGAGCAAAATAAAGTGCACCCTTACAATCCATAGATACACTATAAATTAGGTACAGATAATCCTAAACAGACTGTGTAATGGAACAAAGCACTAAAATACTGATCAGTTTACTAGCACATAATTTATTACTTATAACAAAACCAACATCTGGCCAAAGGGATTTTTCTTTCTGATGAGAAGAAGGGCAATGGAGAAAACTCTTCTATCTTGCCAGGCTCACAGTAGGAGTCCAGGAGACCTCTCTGAACCCTGCAGGTAGACCGGCACTGCCTTTGTCAAGAGATGGTGCCTGCTGAAATAGATTCAGGCATCATCTGAAACAGATTATGCAAACAGATGCAATATTTATTACCCGAAGACGGCTACTCAACTAAAAATTCATTTGCAATCCTATAGCGTGAATGTAATTTTTGCCCAAAATAATAAAACCCGGATCCCAAGAAAAAGAAAAGAAAAAGAGAATCAACAAGAAACAAAATGGCATTATTATTTTTTTTTTAATTTGATTTATATGCCGCCCTTCTCCGAAGACTCAGGGCGGCTTACAATGTGCTCAGCAATAGCCTTCATCCTTTTTGTATATTTATACAAAGTCAGCTTATTGCCTCCACAACTGGGTCCTCAGTAAGATTCCTTTTCCTTTTAATTTACCATGATCATAGATTTTACCCTTCATAATGCATATGTAAGAAAGGGTTATTTTAGAACAGAACTGCCAAACTCGTGGCCCACAGACCAGATGCATCACACACTTGCCACCCCCACCCCCAGTTTAGCGAATGGGAAAAAATTCCCGATACACCACGTGACAATGAAAGTTTGATACCTGTTTTAGAACATATTGATGAAATAAAGACCTAAAAGGGGGGGGGAATTATTAACTTATTAAAGTTTTCCTTGTATTGTCATTTAATTAGGTTGCACATATTTATCTTAAATAAATATTTCAAATATATTTGTAAAACATACATTTTAAACCACCTAGCTGGATGGAAAATAGCTCAACAAGTGGCTGAAAAAATGATATGGTTAATGATCATGGATGCTCACCTCAGCTAAACAAATATCAGCCCACTATAGATAACCTCGGGTAGCAACTTGAACAAATTATGACTCCAGAACACATAAAAATGCTGACAACCACCATACATCTCTAAGACAAGCTAAAAAGAAAAATAAAACTCCAAACCAAACTGCTAAAAGCTAAACCCCAGAAACAAAGTGGTATCTGCCTCATCCAAATGTGTAGTCAATATGCCCAATCGCCTGCTATCCACCACATGATACAATATACTCCAGAAAGGCATCAGCTGTAGGTTGCTAATCAGAATTCTTTGCAATCTTAGATTGCAGCATTTAAAACCACAGGACTTGCCGCAGAGATTCAAGAAAGCATAAGGCAGACAATCATACTACAGACCAGAAAAACACAGAATCAGCACTAATAAATGTTATGTTGACTAAGAAAGACATTTGTTAGATTGTATTTTGTTTCATTTATAAATATGAACTACAGTTCTTTGACCATAAGTCAAAATTGAGGACCAAATTAAGTGATAGTAAACAATTGAAAAGAAGGCTGGAAGAGCCAATGCAGCATGCCATTTTGCAGCATAAAGTGTTTGACTACAATCATAGAGACCCAGGTTTAAGTCCATTTTCACCCATGAAGTTTTACTGGGTGGCCTAGGACCAATCACTATCTCTGAGGAAATCTGAAAAAAACATTTGTTATGAAAAACTGGAAGAGATAGTGCTATGTATGGAAGTGAGGTGGGAAATAAATTTAAATACTAAATATATAAAATACAACTAAGAATGATTGAACACTTCCTGGGTTGTCCTCCCTATTTAAAAAGTATATCAACTCTCTGTGCTCTAGAATTCTGGGGATTAAAAGCATCTGTTATTTTGATATATGACAGCTGAAGAACCAGAGGATCTCTTTCTCCTGAGTAAATAACCAGAGAGCTGACAAATTTCTTTTTCACATTTTACTGCAGTTTGAGTAGTAGAATCTTAGGCTTATCATTATGTTTTTAGTTAATACTCCAATTCCTGAGGGCTTTTTTTCTGAATTATTATTGATTGAGGAAATAGAATAATCAAGAATATTTTGTCTATAGGATCGGTCATCTTGAAGATATCATTGCATCAGCAGATGCTTGAATAGTGCTAGATTATTGCAGTCTTTCAACATTATGAAAGAGACCAATGCCTCAATACAGAATACTTGGAAAGTAGTTGCTGCCTGTGTTACTTCATTACTTGCTATGTTCACTGATTATTCTGCTAAAAGTATAAAGAAAACTTTTCTTTGTCAATAAATTGTCATCCTCAAAAAAACAACACAAAACACCTGCAGAGCTTTAAAGTCAAGTCATATTATTTTTCTTATATATGTGTGTGTGTTTTTGTGTGTATGTCGCTGTTACTTGCTTTACAATAAACGTACTCTCAAGACACCCAACTGAATTTAAAGAGCTATACTATGGAATGAAAAATAAATTACTTTGCTAGAGGCAGGATTGATGGCATTTTTCTGTCAAGCAGTTTTATCTTCCCTCATCATTTCTACAATTAAAATATAATAACTACTCTAAGAAAGTTGTACCATAAGTGTACCACAGAGCATGACATAATCATATCAGCCAGTGGTGGGTTGCCCCCGGTTCAGACCGGTTCGCAAGAACCGGTAGTAAAACCGGCGGGAGGCCCCACCCAGCACCCTGGATGTCGTCATCGGCAATCTGCGCATGCGCAGAAGCGCAATCCCGTTGCGAACCGGTAGTAAGTAGAACCCACCCAATACCAGCTAAATGAACAGAGCATGACATAATCATACCAGCTAAATGAAATTTAAAATGAAGTAATCAACACAGATGGGAGTTGGCTGCTCTTGAAGGGGGATATGTTTCCACTCTTGCATGGCACTTTATATGTCATAATCTTAACTATCACTGTTCTAAGTCATCACAGGGCCATGTTCTTGATCTCCATTAATTTTGGAGTGGAGCGAATATGAAAGTGGAAGACATCACCTTCGGTCTTTTGTCAGTCAGATTAGAGAGTAGGGATTATGAAATGTATGGCTATATAAATTAATAAATAAATACATTTCTATTCACCATAAGTGTTAACAGCATCACTAAATTCTAGAGGGGAAACACCAGTTGGGACTAATGGATCACATAACTTTTCAGGTTCTCATGATGGCTGGGAAACTCATCTGAAATTTGGCAAATGTTAAATAACAAATGTAAATGTTTGTTGAGGTTGTCAAATATTGTCCTAGATGATCTCTCCCATTGCTTTGTGCAAATGTTAAAGAGGAGAGGGGAGAGGACCAATCCCTTTAGTACAGAACCGGATGCGTCATGCGCTGGCCATGCCCATGCCCGGTTTAACAAACGGGAAAAAAGTCCCAATATGTCACGTGATGCCGCCATGACGATGCAAGTTTAACAGCCCTGCTTTAGTACATCATACAGGACATGCCTCAAAGCTGGCCTCTCCCCATGACAAAACCACCCACTGAGGAACTATAGAACAGTGGAGCCATAACTCCTAATTCCTACAGCTGTTCAGAAGGTTACACTACTGATACTATTGGGAACTGTGAAAGAGATTCAAAAGGAGGGATATACTCACTTCATCCAGGTCTTAACAAAAGTAATCAATTGAAGTGACCAATGCTGCCTTGGCTACATGTGCAGATGTAATGCCTTTAGTGGCTGCTTACAAATCAAAACGTAAGCCTTATAGAAATCTTGGCTTCCTGAGAAGTATCATGTGAACTAGATATCCCTGAAGAAGTGGGGACAGTAGGCAGAGTTTGGTGGTCAGATTATGAATTTTGACCAGTACACTCTCTCCACACACAAAAATTGCACTCAAGACAGCTGTTCCTTGTAACTAAATTGCAGGCACTTAAGTTTTTGTGGTCAGCTCATGAGTTGACCAGCCTGAGAGTCAAGGAATTTCAATCAAGCAAACAGCTACAATATAGGCTGTATGGAGATACTGTTTATAAGAGCCCCATTTCTTAAACACTTTGACATAATTTACAGCTAAAAATTTTCTCTGTGGCAGGATAAGAAAAATCGACTTGATAAGCCATCATTCTTAATGGAATACAAAGGTGTTTTTTTTTAAGATTTATAAAAGGAGGAAGATGGGAACCAGCCTTGGAGAAAGGAGTTGAATCAACACACCACTACTCCACCCAGCCCAAGCCCTACAGCTGGCCCAAAAGATACCATGCTTAATAATATTGAAAGCCATCAAGGAGAGCAGGGATAGATGTACTACCTAATCCCACTCTCTCCAGACTACAATGATTACAAGTTGTTCATAATTCCATCTGATTTTAGATCATTTTTGCAAGAATGTATTCATGAGATCAATGTGGTTTTTTTTAATCTAAAAGGCAGTTAAAGGATAATCTTAGAAATGTATTGAGCATTTTGGAATATTTGAAATAACTAATGAAGAAACCTGCATATTTTTATTATATTTTATTGTTTTTATTAAAACATGAGGTAGTATACAAAACAAATATGATCAATCATAGCAAATCATAGCAAGCAAACAAACAAGAATCATAGCAAACAAATATTATTTCATCTTGACTGCTTCCCGTTCTACTTTTAACCAGAATAGATCATGGAAAGATTAAAGCATAGATAACCTCTGCCATAGCAAGTGAACAATAAATGTATCGTACACATATTTAATGTTCCACTTAACTGTGATGCAGCAATTAAATTCCAAAACAAAATGTCAAATGCTGGATTTCTTTACATGACTGCATTATTGTAATGAACCCTTTTAAAAACAGACATTCATCCATAAATATTTAAACTATGTATCTTCAGACACAGGACAGAGACAACAGCCTCATAGTAACCCTTGAATAAATGTTGCTTCACCTGCAGTCTTAACTAAAGCTTGAAAGGTTTAAACTTTTGTTTGATTAGGAAGGCTTTTGAACCTTCTGTCAGGGTTCATTATATTCCTTCTTTATATCATTATATACCTTCATTATATCATTACTTCATACTAGAGTCTATTGCTTTTAAATATTGGGCCTGCACCCAGTATTTTTTGTGAAGCATTACTAGAATTCATAAAGTATTATTGTTCATGTATTACTCTTTTCCATATGAACTTTGGGTGAACCTTTTGTACATCCTAATTCCTAGTTACTGTTCAATCATGCTATTTCCAGCCACGTCATGTCATGCTGTCAGCTTAAGGAAAAATTTTGACTACTTGGATGCAGTACCCAGATCCAAAAGAATATTTTCAGGGCATGACATCTGATTTTGTTTTATTTAAATCAGGTGCTTAGGAATGGGAAGTCTGGAATGCTTTCCTTAATCATCTAATTTAATTACATTCATTGACATTATTCATATGGGTGACATACAGGGAGTTTTTACAAGCTACAGGAGCCTGATGAAGAAACATCATGGATACCCATCACTAGGCTTTACTGGACAACACTGCATCCCATGTTGTTTACATACAGATTAATTGGCACAAACATAGTTGCTTAAGGCTTGCTTCAGTTTGAGAAAGTGAAATTCATAGATGGCTATCCAGATGCAACTACCAATATACATTAAGCATGATGGCTATGAATTACCTCAAACTGTGGTAGAACAAGGCAGAAAGATGTGATGACATCCATATCCTACTTGGATTAGCCTCAAAAGGAACAGAATGTTGAACCAAACAGATGTTCCAGCAAAGAGGTTCTAAAATATGGCTAGGCTTAACCATAGATTTGAAGAGAACATTTCTTATCTTCCAAAGCTATTAAAGAAATATTTTATAAAATACAGTAATCGTTTCACAGACTAAGTATTCCAAGTACAGAATCATGATGCAAACGATTAGTAATAATATATCTATCAGTTTGCATTGTATAGTTTACCCTATGCAATTTTGACTGCTATCTCTTTTTAATGATTGTGCTAAATTAAAGATTTTGTAATGCTAGGGGTGGCCTATCGTGCATTAAAATACATTCAGATTTTGATTCATAATTAGCTTCCTATGATCATGTAAATATCTCAAACTTAACAGGAATGTAATGTAGTTAATTTTTATTACACATATATGAAAGGCATTTATTGTAGCAATGAAGTCAGCCTTAGGTATCTTGCTGCCAATTATTCTTCTAGTAAGAGACTAATTTCTTTCTCAGAGAATGAGCTCAATAGGAAGTAGTTAAGAGTTTGGACTATGACTGGAGAGATGCATGTTTAAGTCCCTACTGAACTCCCTGCTGAACCTTGGAACTCAGTGGTTGACTTTGTATGAGGTAACAAATTGGTTCATGCACAGCATAAACCATGATATACGGAATTAGGTTGTGTTCGCAGAGTAACCAAAGCAAAACTAAAAACCATGTTGTTGCTTAGAAATATGTGTCCATCAGATCCTACATAGCAGCCTAACCTACACTGCAACTTGTTTTTGTAAGACAAATGAGGGGAAACTCTATGCGGGACATCTATTGCTCTAAAAGGTAGGCTAAAACAATTTATAAACTACAAATATAGGTAGCTGATCATACAGAAGGATTGTCCTTGATGCTTTCTGCACTATATTTTAACCAAGTATGTTTCTACACATAAACTTAAGTTAAATGACATATATACGAAATGATTCCAAAACTCGATACTCTTTAGGGTTTGTTCTTTGAAGTAGTTCACACTGACTATATTCACACCACATACTAGCTGGTGGCTTAATGAATTAACCCCACTGTTTGAATTCATAGCACAAAGTGGTCTACAAGGTAACCAACTATAATTTTATCTACTGTGCTGAGTGAACCCAGCCACTGACAGGTGTCCAACATACTATATCATGATTTGTTATCAAGGGTTTACTGAAAAAACATTGGCTGGGTTTGCATGCATGTTATACTATAAAATAAATTAACAAAGTCTGAGTCCATATGTTAAGCCAAAAATCACATATGGGAGCTTTTGTGACTGTGAACGCAGCATACCAATGATTCTGCTAAGTCAGCTTAGAACTGACTTCCTTTCCAAATACCTGCTGTGTTAGATCCTTTGCAGTACATTCATAAAAAAACAAAGGTGGATACAGCATTTTGAATACAGAAACTTTTCATTGTTCCAAGTTGGGAAAAGGTCATAATGGAACCAGTAATAACTATAAATAGATCTTGATTAAGGGCCATCATGTTACCTTTAATAAAAGCCTCTTAAAGTTCTCAAAACAGTATTTTATCATCATTATATTATTTGATTTCATTTTATTTTGTAATAAGCAAGTAATTATGTATAATAATAAATGTTGTAATCAGTAATAATTCTTATTTAATTACTTCAATGTATCCACTAACAGTGTAAGACCATGCTGTATAAAAGTTATCTAATTTAGAGTCATTTCCCTTAAAGGAGGAAATAACTGCATAGTGTCATTCTTTTCTAACCTTGCACGCTAAATATTATTGAATCATGACATCTTACACCTCTCTTCAGCCTATTCTGCTTGCAGGTGCAACTTGTAGCAAGTTACAGGAACACAAAAGACCTGAGATGGCAGAAGCTGAAAACCCAGGCGCCCAGTTTCAAGTTGTAAAATTGATAATCTCAAAAGGATGTTTAAAAATTGTTTCACAACTTGTGGGTAATTTGCAGCATTGAGCATAAGCAGAGTTAGGTTTCCACAGATCAGATTCTCTCAAGGTTGGTTTAAATCAATGGTGGGATTCAACTAATTTAACAACCGGTTCTCTGCCCTAATGATATCTTCCAAAAACCAGTTCACCAAACTGCTCAGAAATTGAACAACCGGTTCTCCCGAAGTGGTGCGAACTGGCTGAATCCCACCACTGGTTTAAATGCGATTGGTTGGTGTGTTGTACAAATCCAGGCAATGGAGTTATTTCAGTAAACAATCAGGGGTGCAAATAGCCAACGAAAGAGGAGCGCAGGAATGGCGGGAGGGGGGGGGAAGCTTTGGCAGAGAGCAACTTCTTCCTATTCATTCACCTTTTTACGCGGCAGAGAATTAGGCGCGATGAAACCACAGCGCGAATAAGATTACGAAATAAATTGTTTTATACAGTCTTGGCTAATCTAGCTCCGGGCGCAGCAGCTCTACCCACATCGATTTTTCCCACCCTGAACAACAACAGCGTTACCCTGGCGGATGCGGATAATGGATCTTTAAAGCGCAACGGAGCCCGGAGAGCTTTTCATTAGGAAAAGGCGGAATCGGAGAGAGAGAGGAGCTGTAACGGCCCTCCTTCCACAAAGCCACGCCCTCTATTCACTCGCATCGTTCTCGGTCTTTCGCAGCCAAACGACAATAAGACGCCTGAGGCCGGCCGAGCAAGAGCGGGTGGGCGATGGCTGTTAGCCACGCCCTTTCCCCGGCCCCCTCCCCGCCTCCTTCAGCTTCCCTGAATTAAGTCAACCTCGATCCAGCCCCTTTCCTCCCTCGTGTCGCCCCTCGGAGGCGGGCCCGGCGCCTGCGCATTGAGTCCGAGAGGCCGGGAGGTTGCGGGCGGGTGGAGGAATGTGCGTTTCAGTTAAATAGTGGATACAGCGCCGCAGAAGCGGCGCTTTCTGGGGACCGGATGAAGGACAGGGACTGAGTGAAGCGGGAGGAGCTGCGGCCGGAGGAGAGCGCTCGGGCCGGGTCGCAGCCGCAGTGCTTGAGGAGAAACCGAGGCGGCCAGTGGAGACAACAGACGGCGGGGCTCCATGGCGCGGCGTGGGTTCCTCAGTGGCCGCGGTGTCGCCAGCTCCACTGCCACAGCCGTGCGTGGCGCTCTGTCCCCCTGAGGAGCGCTCCCTTCGCTCCCTCCTGACGAGGAAAGAGGCTTCTCTCGCCCCACCGGGCTCCTCGGCTTGGACCGAAGAGAGAAGGGGAGCCACCGGGGCCTCCCTCGTCGTTCGCTTCCCTCCCACACGGGCGGGCGTGCCGGGGGCCGGAGTAGGCGGCGGCGGCGGCGGCGTTCCTGCCTCTATGATGAAATTCAAGCCAAACCAGACGCGGACCTACGACCGGGAGGGTTTCAAGAAGCGGGCGGCATGCTTGTGCTTCCGCAGCGAGAGGGAGGATGAGGTGAGAGCCGAGGTCTGGAAGGCTGCGGCGTATGGCGGGTGGCCTGGAGGAGAACGAAAGAAGTCGGGGATGCCCCCTTCCTTCCCGCCCGGCCGCCCTCCCGCGGCTCCCTCTTCCTCGGTCGGGGCTGCCGCGCCCAGACCCGCTCGCCCCTTCCTTCCTTCCTTCCCTCCTTCGCCATCGGTCCATTCGGCTCCTTTGTGTGCGGGTGTCTGCCGGAAGGATTTGCCTTGTCGCCCCCTTGCGAGCCCCGTCTGTCCCTGCCCGGCTCCTTCGCCGGCGTGGCTGACGGGGAGCCAAGATGTGGCTGCCTGCGAAAGGACCCTTTCCGAGACCAGCCCAAGCCGCGGCTGTGGGAGCGCAGGGGCTGCGGGTGGGCGGTGGGTGGGCGTAGGCAGGAGCAGCTCTCCGCGGGCAGCGCTCGCTAGGGGACCCTGTGGGGGGGGGGGGGCTGCAGCGAGGGCTGGGGGGGGGGGGGCTGTGCGAAGGGTCCACGTGTGTGAGCGATTGCTGCAGGTCAACTTCCCCCCCCCCATCCCACCCCGTGAGTGAGGTCAGAACCAGTGTGCTTTCAGCACTCTTGCTAGCCGGCCTGATCTGGCTGTCTCCGAAAACGGCAAGGGCCGAGTTCAACGACCTCTTTAGATTGGGACGATCAAGTTGCTTTCGAGACCGACCGCCGCCGTTTTTTTTTTTTTAACAGAAAGGCCCCCTTTCCTCCTCCCCTGACTTCTCAAGCAGACAGGTAGGCGGCAGTAGTTCCTATTTATGCAACCGTAATCTATGAAACTTGCTCCTGGCGATTTCCCTGCCCCGTTTTTTGTCGCTGTATGATGTCTTCCGAATGGCGGTATAAAACCTGTAATACCTGAGCAACGATTTTCTGTTATCAATAGAAGAAGAAAACTAACTCTGTGGAGATCTTGGTGATCTTTGAATTTGGTTGGTCGTTTGCTGGCACACTTTTCATTACCCAATTAGGTAACATCAATATACTAGTGGGTAATGAAATGTCTGCAAGCAAACAACCAAAGCTCAAAGAGCACCAAGGATCCCACTATATCCTATTAAACTAAACCACGTAGTTCAAAGATAAGAAACCGAGTTGAAGCATGATTATATATATGAAGTGTTCAAATAAATATCTGGGTTAAAATCTGTGGATAGATCTGTTTTCATATATACCTAAGTATTAGTTGAAACTGAATAATGCATAATGCACTGTAATTTTACTGCACTTTGAAAAACTATTTTTCTTCAAAAGTACAAAGCAAAATTGCTTTGTCTATAATTAGATATAGCATAACTGGTTGCAGAAATATGGATGACCATTAGATGGCTCCAAAGAGTCAGGCTTTTCCATGTCTCTTTGATGTAATCTACTGGAGGTCAGGATTTTTTTCCATTCCAGAGGTGGTAACCATTCTTGATAATATATCAAACCACTAGAAAGGTTTTAGCAGCTCCAAAGAACTACCATCACTGACATAAAAAAAGGTATTGCTGGAATTGATAACTGAAGGAACTTTTTAAAAATTCCTAAAATATTTCTCAATATTTGTTTGATGTTGAATTCTTGTTTTTTGAAGTGAATGTATATTTTAAAAATTCAGCTCCTTCCATTATAACTTTTAGCTGTCACTTCTCAGGTTTATTCAAAGTGACATAAAGATCTACTGGGGATACATTTAAATACAAGCTGTATACTGTGTGTCCCTTTTTATATCTAAGCTATGTATAAGAAACAATTTCAGATAATTTTCTAACAACATTTTGGGTCTCTGCTATTTCTTAAAGTACAGCATATGAATAAATATTTTCTCTACATCACGGTAGCAAGTGTTAGTTGAAATGTGAAGTTGTTGAGGGAAGAAAAGATATACTATTTCTGTATAATATAGCAGTCACATAGTATTCTTATATAAGCTATAAGAAAATCTACAAAAGCAGGACTAACTGTATCAACTTTAACTGTATCAAGTTACTATAATTTCATAATAGCAATAGCACTTAAACTTATATACCACTTCACAGTGCTTTACAGCCATCTCTAAGCGATTTACATAGTCAACATATAATGCACTTTTTTAGCCTCCAGTACTATTATATCTTACTGGATCTAAAGGATCTTACTTTATATTGCCAGATTCTAGTTGCACAAAATAGCAAGAATTTAAATTATGACTATAGGTATATAACTGTTTTAGGATTATAGCTTTTCGTGTATGTTTTCCCTCCACCAATCTTATAGCATGTTAATGTTAGTGATGGTAGTTATAATGTATCTATTCAGGACCATTTGAACATCTTTCCTAACATACTAATATAGATTTTATTAAAAAGTAGATTTTAAAATTTACATTTACAATACATTGAAGAAATTCAGTTACAGTATTTGAGAAATGGCTGTGGGGATTGCTTATTTAGAGATATATTTACATAAACAATTATTGCAGGAGTCTTGAATCTGAAAGGGACTTAGGTACATTAGATTTTTTGATATTTTACCAAACCATCTACTGAAGATGATCATGAAATCCTATTCATATTATATTTTGAATATTTAGAACTCTGCCATCCAAAAATAATAGACACAGGCCTTCTTATAAAAACATTTTATTAGGTTGCCTAAGGAGCTCAGTATGTTCTTAATTAAAATCTTGTGTAATTTAGTCTGCAGTGTGGCTATACTCCTACCTATTCGATTGAACATGCTACATCACAAAATGCCAGCATTATCCTCTCCCCCTCCCCCTCCCCCACAAGAATGAGTGGAACTTGCATCAAAAATATTCCTACAACCTAAAAATTAAGAATGGCTGCAGCTACTTGTATTTCATTTGTAAGTATGTCCATGAAACCCACAAAAAGTTGACTGATAAGAGTTCATCTGTGGAGCCATTGAAGAAAATAGGAGTAAAATAGTAGATAGTAGAATCTAGCATACCTGTATTGTCTTGACAATATGAACTTGCACAGTTAAGCTTCACAGACAATCTTAAAACTGTAGAGGGAGCTGCTGTTGTATTAAAAGTGAACTACTCAGCAAGTTTAGTATATAAGCTTCAATAATTTACTTTCAAGGGGAAAAAACACCATAACTATAAAGGCATACCTTACCACTAACTATTTTTACTTCTCTGAGTATTTTGGCAGACCAACTTCATAAAATTTAGAGAAAGAAACAAGGGACCAAGTATTTAGTAAAGATAAAGATCTGGGGATAAGGAAATATTCTGTTATGTTTTTAGGAATGTAACAAAAACATCTAATCTTATGTCTAATGTTAACACTAGAAGAAGCTTAGTAATTCTTAAGCAATTCACTTCTCTTTTTAAAAGGATGTTCTATGTCAGAAAACTTCATAAGGGACTGATTATTAAATTCATGCCAAATCCTGTGTTCTTTTTCAACTAATCAGGTACCAATTCAGGCCTGGGAAGAATATTTTAGAGAGTTATATACAGACCCTGACTATATAACTAAGGAGAGCCAAATTAGCTTGGACCAGCTTACTGGGCCCTTGTTACACCAGAAGAGATATCCCGGTTGATCGGAGCCCTTAAGGCTAATAAGCCACCTGGTGCTGATAATGTCCTCCCAGAAATAATAAAAAAGAACACCAGTTGGTGGGCTCTACTTTTAGCATCTCTGTTTACATATATAGATAAAACAGGTCGTATGCTAAGAGATTGAGGATTAGCAATTATTATACCAATCTATAAAAAGGGTAATAGAAATGACCCAGGCAATTATAGACCCATTAGTGTTCTGAGTGTTATTAGTAAATTGTATGCAAAACACCTAAACTATAAACTTCAGGATTGGCTAATTTCAGGGGGGGATAATCAAAGATGAACAAACTGGTTTTAGAGAAGGAAGATCTATGGTGGATCATATCCTGATACTTTACAATCTGATGCAAAAATATACGCACACAAAAAAATCCTCTCTTTACGTGGCCTTCCTTGATTTTAAGCAGGCCTTTAATTCAATATTCAGGAACACCCTATGGGAGAAACTAAAATGCACTACAGTCGATAAATGCCTCCTTTTCCTCATACAAAAATTGTATGCCAATTCCACCTTGAAAGTGAGATGTAATCCTCAAGGGACTTTAATCAGCCCAGTAAAGGTTCAAAAAGGGGTACAGCAGGGTTGCATCCTATCCCCCTCCCTTTTTAACTTCTATATTAACCCCCTGATCTGTCTCTTACAGAACCCTGATCTACATCCTCCTAACCTAGCACAATGCAAAATCCCGATTCTCCTATATGCCGACCGATGATGCTATTATTTCACAAACTCCCATAGGACTGAAGAGAGCAATTAGGGCAACACTTGGCTTCTGTAGACAGAACAAGTTGGTCCTTAACTTTGATAAATCAAAAATTTCAGTTTTTGCTAAAAGACCCAGCCAATACTCCTGGAAAATTGAAGGACATAGATTGGAACACATTAGGACATTTAAGTACCTTGGGGTGGTTTTCCACTCACAAGGGACATGGAAGGCACACCTGGAGCATACATTGCAAGTAGTGAATAGGTCCTCAAATGCAATTAAACATTTCTTTTATACAGGCAGAGGTCAATTAGTACCTGCTGCCTTAAAACTTTTTGAGGCCAAAACATTGGCGCAAATTCTTTATGGGGCACAAACAGGAACCCTTGTAAAGAAAAACTTGCTAGAACTATACAAACCAAATTCCTGCGAGCCATCTTAGCTGCACCCAAAGGAACTTCAAATGCCCAATTAAGATTTGAGACAGGTATGCCTCAAATTCAGGTAAGAGCCTGGAAGATGATGATCATTTATTGGCTAAAAATGCATTTCTTTCCAGAGGGACTGTCCCCGCTAATGTTGACTGACAACTTCCCCTCCCATTGGAAACAGGCGATAGACCACAAGCTGGGCTCTTATGGGCTCTCACCAGTATTCTTAATGCCTCTAGGCTTTGACAAAGCAAAGCAAATAGTAATTGATAGTATGAAGAACATGGGGTTCCAAGAACTAAATAGGTTGCCTCTCCACAGTAGGGACAGAATCAAACAGGATGTGTAGGAATCAGCAAGATATCTAAATGATCGGATCTTCCCAAAACAAAGAATAGCTTTCTTCAGAGCCAGATTTAATATTCTGCCCTCAGCACTTCTCCAGGGTAGGTATACGAGAACAGGTATGTATATGTGGTAAAGGAGCAGTCGAAGATACCTCACAGGTTTTATTGTACTGTGAGTTATATAGAGTTTATAGGTCAGTATATATTCTTCCCTTACTAGAGAGATTGCCAGGGAGGGTAGACGACTTTTATGTAGGCGTTCTCTTCCAGGACTCAAACCCGGCTACCACGCGTGCAGTGGCAAAATTCTGTGTCGCTGCAATGTCCACAAGAAAAAAATTGGTTACAGAATTATAGCTGTCAACTTGTGCCAATTTTTTGGAGGTATCTATAACAATTTTTGGAAAATACATTTACTCACATACTAATCAGCTTTCCATTCACATAAATTAGGGAGTAACCCTAAAGGTTTGAGATCATGTATTTTCATAACAGGGATGTTATTATTCATTATTAATGTCAGTATTATTTTTAATATATTGTATGTGGATTGCTGGCTGATGACCCTAATAAAGTTTTGTTCTGTTCTGTTCTATTCATGGCAAATTCTGTGTTTTTTTTTTTTTCATTTCTGCAAAATAAGTCTAAATAGTCACAATGAAAGCAAAAAAATTACAGGTGCTAA